ATGGCCACCGCTATCGTCGTCCCATGCATGTGGTAGCTACAGCACGTTCTCCATGTCGTGCCAACGTACAACGAAGAAGAAGCCCCCCTGGGGCGCTAGCCCGCATCGCTAGTCCCCTCGGTAGCAAGAATCTTTGCAAGCTGGAATCAAGGACATCGTCAGGAGCATCTACTATGGAAACAAAGGGTTAGTACCTTTTTCAGTATTTCATCTACTTTCTCGGTGCTTGGTCATTTGTCATTGCCTATTTGGTAATGTGGGAGTCCAACGTTGCTCGGCTATAGAATTGGATTTTTTTGCTAATGTTAAGTCAAGCACAGTACAGTTGCATAGTTTATTTTCTAACACTTAAAGTTATTTTGCCTATATAATAGATAGATCATAGACGAAGCTCATGATTGCACTTATGCTTTTGTTTGTTTAATGGTAGGAGCTAGATGGAAAGAATATTCATATTCAGTTAACATGATTCCCGAAGACGAACACATTGAAGTTCATGATAGAATGGCCACTTATACTTCAACAGTTGCTAGATGCTTCTCCCTGAATACCAAAAATAAGTGGAAAATATGATGATATAATGCAAAATGTAGATGAAACAACTTATTACATCGTGACTTCTGTAGTTCTATGTATCATTTTTTAAAGAAAAATTATTATATAATAAGACAAAAATTGATTGTTAGTTACCAACCATTTACATAGAAGGTCTACAGCTATTGCATATTGTTTAGCAAACTCAGTATTTAAGTTTTCAGCCATAACGCCATAAACTTGTCACGTATAGTTGACAACAAAGAGTTGCGGTGCAATAAGAGGTCCCACGGATTTCTCGCTCGATGATCGGCATGAGCAAAACTCAATCCGGACTGTTATCGCCTTCTAGTCCAACGCCTGAAACTTTGTCTCCGTACATGAAAACCCTACCGGGCTACCGGATGCTGCTCCCTCTCGCATTTACAAAACCCCGCCGCCCCGCCCTAAAATTTCCTCATCCACCCATAAGAAACACTACCGCCCCATCCTAGAAATTTGGCATCACCTACCCACCCTGCCTCCCACCTTCCACCTAGCGAGATCCCCACTCATCCATGCCATCGTACGATGTCTCTGCATTGGCCGCCCTGACCGCACTGGCCGACCGTGTGGGCAACTAAGGGTAAAATCTAGCCCAAGAGGATTTCTACCTGTCCCATTGATCCGATTCTTGTCTAGCTACCAGTTAAAGTTTAGAAAAATAAACAAAGATTTATTGATTCTATTTTTCAATTAATGACCGCAGGAGAACTACACAAGCAACTATGATTCTGTAACAAAACAAACTTCAGGTACAATAGATTTGCTCCTTTGAACTCGAAGATTAGTATCCTTTAAGAGTTTTGCTAGGGCTTTTTTATTTTTCCTTGAAAGTTGAAAGTCCCTTCTCATATGGAAATACAATTGTGGTTTCCTAGGACTTCTCCACACTCTCACTCTCCCTATTTTCTATGCTCTAAGTGGAGTAGGGCTTCGTATATGCTTGGAATGATTGGCTCCTCCTTGGTGGTCCTAAATGAGAGGGAGTAAGGGGGTATTTATAGTACTAGGGGGTGCCTTGGGAGAATGAAGATGCTTCCTTGATTCTAGGGAATATTTCCTTTTGGTGGGCCCATGGATCCAAGTGCTCCAAACCTCCTCCATTGGATCAAACCATCATCAAATCAAGGGTGAAGATGGAGTGAAGTTGTGTTTCCTTGCATGGATGGACATGGGGGTCGACTAACCTCCTTGGCCCTTGGGCATCCTCCTTCATCTAGGAGCTGGGTCCACTTGTCATGGTGGGGGTATGGAAGGAGTTTGGATGTTGTCACGTTGAATTTTCCTGTTGGTGGGTCCATGAATCCTTGTGCGTTGCATATCCTCTGTCTAGAGAAAACACAACTTGCATATGATGGTTGAAAATGTGCCCAAGTGTGTTTCTTTTCCTCTCACATAGACTAGACCTCTAGGGCCCCACATTGAGGGTCAACTAGCCCCCTATGTGGGCCCACTATCCATGCTTTGCTCCCCATTTTGTCCCTACGCTCAAATATACTCCATGTACATGTGGAACCAAGTTATTTGCATAAAATGTGTGTGACACATATTCTATTCCTTTCATTTGTGATACATTGTTGATGGTTTTGTCTATATGCAAATTCATGCCACAATGACTCTCAGTAACCCCCTCTGGCCAGCCATCTCAACCTAACAGAAGCTTCCAGTCCCAAACCTTGGTAGGTTATAGAGCCATAGATGACCTATAGATTCACCTAGGTAAATCCAATCCAACATGCCTTGATAGATGTTCTCTATACTAAAAGGACCAAATGGCCTTAGGGGGGATGACTTGGGCTCAAAAAATACGTGCGACAAGCCTTAGCCCATGCAAATTCTACTCACCCCTTGCACAGACCTAGGACTAAAAATATCATGTCCATAGGGCCATCAAGCTAAACATGCCCTTAGCCAATATATCACACTAAGAATATGGTCCTTAGCTGTGAAAAGTAAAGACCATGACTAAACACACTCAAGCATGGTGAAAAGATCCAGGTTGCCACACAAGATTCTTGAACTCAATAACAAGCAATCACTAAGCTAAGACATGAAAGTAAATACTAGAATAAAAGAGGGACAAGAGACAACCGATTTTTTTCTCATGGTGCCATGTAGTTACCACTACCACATAATCCATGTTGGAGCACCGAAGATTCACAAGACTTAGTTAGGCTCCTTTAAGTCACCAAGACTCAAATTTAATTTCACTAGCAAATACCCCCTTCTCCACTATGGATCATTGGTGGGTTTCAAACTGAGCACAACTCCTAGGAGCCTTCACACAAACCATTAGGAAGGTCATATAGTCCTCCAGCGAGCCATCTAGGTGCTAGCAAACACCAAGAGTAACATGTCTTCAACCTTCACTTGATAGAAAATCCAAGCTAAGAATTCCTATATGCCCACTAATTAAGTACAGTCTCCAACAAGAAATCTTGACTTGAATGCCCTTAAACCCTTCCCAAAGTTCGTCTATATGTGTTTTGAATATGAGTATAGAAGAGACCTCCAAATGAGATAGAAAACACGAATAGGATGGGAAGGAGCTACTAGCTATATTGGAAAAAGTCTACAAACACAATGATCAACGGAGGTCCACCGAGTGCCACTAGAGGGCGCACAGAATCATATGGTGACCCTATCCAGGCCAGTTTTACAACAAAAATAAAGATATGCTTGAATATACCTTTGGATGATCCACCATGGGCCGCATAGGCACCACTAGATGGTGATTGAAAAAAAAGGTTTTTGAGGTCATCTAAGCTATATGGCAACAATTTTTGCTACCTTTCTATTTTCTTTTCTTCAGATTAACCCCTGCTTACGGTCTGTCCTATGTCGCCAACCAAACAAACACCTTTAGCTTCGTTGGGATTCTACTTTTCCATAACTTTGACATCCTCATTTTAGTCATTACTCTAAACATCAACCTTCTATACATTGATAGTTCCCATGTTTATCCATTAACCACACAAAAGTATCCTCCTCTTCATTGGGTCAAAACTCTTCTAAGAGCATCTCCAAGAGTCTCTACCCAAATCATTATCTGGAGAGTTATTTGAATAAAAATTATTCTCTATATGTTTTCACACTCTAATAACTTCTCTATATCTTGTGCGCACTCTAGATAGCCAACCCTGCTCTCCATCTTTGGCTAGCGAGAAATTTAGAATAGAGGATGACAACATTTGGAGATCTGATAAAAGAACCTGTTGGAGGACATCTTTTCACCAAAATCTCTATTTCTATCAATATGGATGGATATAAAGAAGTTCTTTGAGTTGCTCTAGGGTGCTGTTTGATTAGGACTCTATAAATGCAAACGTCAATGGAATTGATATCGCCATGGTCTAAAAATATAACTGAAAACTAACCCTATTCACTTGAGCTTATTCAGCACTACTTAGTGTTTTCCTCTTACAATATTTCAGCGTAAGCATCAGCATTAGCTAAATTTCAGCATATTGTTTGGTTCCTATCAGTAATGGAAAGGGAAACACTGGTCGTCGTCCTCCTTTTCTCCTTGCTGAGAAAGATATGCTAGCTTCGGGATCGTTTGAATAGAAGGAGCGCAATAAGCGGTGAAGTGTGCGGTAATGGGTCTATTTTGCGGTGCCTCCTCATGTGCTGTTATCAACTTCTAACTAAGCCGAGATCTGATTTCATGGTATAGCTTTACCTTTTGCTATAACAACCAATCACAGAAACAATGCAATCAACTTGCACTGTAATCAGATCATAGAGCAAAATGATCGAACCAAACAACACCTAAGATATCCATTAATCTCTCACATTCCAGCATATCCTCATTTCATCACATTTAAAAAAATCCACGGTGTGAAAATCAAACGCGAATGCACATACATACAGGAAACATAAACCCCAGACATAGAAACGGAAACATTTTTAGAGTGTTCGGCTGGTCATGTTATGGCTCGTTTCAATTTATTTCAGCTTATTCTCTCTTACAGAATACTATTAAATCATTCAAAACCATCCGAAATTTACTGTACAGTCTACCAGCCAAACACGCTAGAAGAAGAATCGAGCACACAAATTGGGCGGTTCGCGGTTGGGCCCCCTGCCCCCCAAACTGTCGACGCCGGCTCGACACGAACCCAACCAAGGCCCAACCACCTCGCCAGTGGGCGCCTCCCTCCCGTCTCCTCCTCCTCCCCTGCTGGTCAGAACTCCGAATCAAATCACTGCTCCCCCAGCTTCCTTTACCGTCGCAGCAAGCAACCCGGTAGCAGCAAGCTGATCGCGGGGAAGCTCCTCACCTCCCCCATCGGCGCTGCTCCGGCGCGGAGAAGCGTCCTCTCGCGGCGGCCGGGAAGACCAGTTCACGCCGCCAGTCCCGAAGGCGGCTTCCGTGAGGTGGCCTTGGCCCCAGGGGCGGCAGGCTCGTGGCGGCCGGCGAGATGAACAGCCACGCGGCCGGAACAAGCAACGGCGGATCCGGGGATGCGGCCGCCGGGGGCGCGGCGAGGAGGAACACCAGGATGCCCAAGTGTGAGATCTCGCGCCGAATCTATCCCGTGTGCTTCCCGTATTGGCAGTTCTCTCGTTTCGTTCAGGCTAAGGCTTGGGACGGCGCGATAATATGTGCCGGGGTTAGTGGTTCGGTGTTAATCTGGCCCCCTTTGGGTTTGGAGATGCTGCTAGCTTATGCTCTCTTTTGGCGTTGATATTTTTGTTGCCATGTTGTTAATCGTGGGAGCTTGCGTATTAGTTACTGTAGCCAGTTCAATCCAGAAGAAAAACCATAGACTAGTTGGCACATGATGGTCTTATGTACTTACTGATTGCGGCTAGTTCAGTTCAGTACTAAAACAGACAATCTAGTTATTTCAGTGCACGATAGTTTCATTTTCTTATTGATTATAGGTAGTTCAATCCAGAAGAGAAACCGTATCCAGGTGTTACATGATGGTATTATTTCATTAGTGATATCCTGTCATATTAAGTCCAGAAGAAAACCTGTCAATCTAGTTGGTACACAACAGTATAAGCTTCTTAGTGATATAGCTAGTTCAATAAAGGAAAAAGCATCAAACTAGTTGGGGAATGATGGTATTGTTTACATTACATGTGTTTGGACACTGGTTATCAATGAAATTATGAGGTCAGAGATGGTGATCACCTGTTAGACATGCATTTGCGGATCGCAAACCCATTCTAACCCAAAAATTCTTATGTGCAGATTCCAAGTTCACACAGCAGGAGCTGCCGGCCTGCAAGCCGATTCTTACTCCAAAATGGGTAGGCTTACTGGTTGTGGAGATTGTGATGCTAGAAAACTAACATCGGAATGTTTCGATCTTTGACTTATGTTTTGTAGGTTGTCTCTGTTTTCTTCATCGTCGGGGTCATCTTTGTTCCCATTGGTGTTGTTTCACTGCTAGCTGCAAGAGATGTATGCTGCCTTTTCTCTTGTGGCTTCTGTCTTAAGATAGATGTTGTGGGTTGTGGTAGTCTCATCTTTTTTCTATTTCTACATGTTGACTGATTGCAGGTTGTTGAGATTATTGATCGGTACGATGAGGCATGTGTGCCAAGCAACATGACTGAGAACAAGCTTGCTTACATCCAGAATGAGACCATATCCAAAGAGTGCATAAGGAATCTTACGGTAATAGACTTTCATGGTATTGATTTACCGTTTGAAATACTAAGGCATAGAAGAAGAAAAAGTGCAATTAACTAGATTTTTTTAAACGATTATGAAGTTAGAACAAACATGCGGTTATAGCATACATCTTCTATCAGATTTATCACAATTTTCTTTGCTGAAGAATTGAATTTTCTTTCCAAGGTTACGAAGGACATGAAGCAGCCTATTTTTGTGTATTATGAACTTGATAATTTCTACCAGAACCATAGGAGGTATGCTGTTTTTTAAGATTTGCAGACAATCATTTGAATCTTTATCCCTTGGCACAAATTGACAGCTATCACTTTCCTGATGTTGATGAATTATCATTTGCAATCGTGATGCTATTTTAATTGGAAAACATGATACAACAACTTAACTTCTAACTTGGATACCTTACCGTCAAAGAAAAAGAAGTGAACAGTCTTTCATTGGAGATTTACCATGCACTTCCCTGATTCAGGTATGTCAAGAGCCGAAATGATGCACAGCTAAGAGATGCTAGTAAAGCTAACCAGACATCCGCTTGTGAACCTGAGAAGACCACGGCTAATGGGCAACCAATTGTTCCTTGTGGCCTCATTGCTTGGAGCTTGTTTAATGATACATATAATTTCACTCGTGGTAATGAGAACTTGACAGTGGACAAGAAGGACATTTCCTGGAAGAGTGATAGGGAGCATAAATTTGGTAAAGATGTCTATCCGAGCAACTTCCAGAATGGTGCACTTAAAGGTGGAGCAACACTTAACCCAAAGATTCCGGTATGTGAACTTTTATTCTGCACCATCATATTGTGGCATATGCTTGTCTAGAGAGACTATTGTTCATTTAGTATACATTTGCAACATCATATTTCTGCTAATGTCCATTGATTTCTTGTTCATGTGGATAAACAAAAGCTGTATGGGTAAGGAATATTTGTGGCAGTTATTCATGTAAGTTGGATGTGATGTGACAGTTGAGTGAGCAAGAGGACCTCATCGTTTGGATGCGGACTGCAGCACTTCCTACGTTCAGAAAGTTATATGGGAGAATATACTTTGACCTCAAGGAGAATGACACAATAACAGTGAGATTGAATAACAACTACAATACATATAGCTTTGGCGGCAAGAAAAGACTGGTCCTCTCCACTGCAACCTGGCTTGGGGGCAAGAACGATTTTCTTGGCTTTATGCATATAGTTGGTGGGCTCTGCATTTTCCTGGCATTTGCATTCACCTTGCTGTACTTCAGTAAAACCAAGGTTAGTGACTTTTGACTGTCTGTTGCAATCGCTTGGAAATTAGCCGTGTGCTGGATTTAGTCTGTGAACCCGCTATATATATGCATGTGCTATCCGGTGTGATAGCCATACTGTGAATGTGATGCTTGCTGTGAAGTAATCTGGGTTTAGCCTATCAAGTTTATAGAAAACCTGTAGGCTGTAGTCTGGTATTCTGATTATGCCTGGTGCAGCCCATTTTATCTCAGCATCGTTTATGTCAATTAAAGGTTGAGGTGGCCTTGAGGCTTTAGGCTGTATAAGTACATTTCACATCACACTACTTTGGTCCTGTTGTTGCAAGTACTTCCATAGGAGCACCTTCTATAAATTTTGGTGGACTAGAACCAGACAACCAGCTGTTCTGTTTTACTACTTTGCTGACTTTGGTCCTTCACACTGCTATTTTGCTTATCATGGTACATTGTGTTGAGTATGTTATGCACTGTGGACTGAGGCTTGTACCATAAGAATGATCGTTTTAGGACTTCTCTGTGCTTGCTAAAGCATCCGTCTATCATTATTTTTCATTGACACCCTACACGAGTGGAAATGCTAATCCTATCTGTGGCTTCGGCAGGAAACTGGGAGACCACAACTACTTATCCTGGAACAGACACCCCGCAGGACGCTAAGATGTTTTGGAACGCCAAGTATCCGTACTACTTGAAGTGTAACTTGTATGAAATGAAATGCTCTGAACCAGAAATCTGTTGGGTACAAGCAAGTATGGTTCAGGCTAGAACTTCATGTACATTTTATACAAAGGGATCTAGGTGGCTACGTGATTTTGTTTCTTGTGTTCTTTAGAGCTGCATGTAGTAGTGATCATGAGAATACCTATTGATCTCTAATGGCTTGCGTGGTGGTACGAGCACTCTAAACAGTTCCCCTCTAAGGCCTACTTTGGCAGCCCGTTTCCCCGGGGGGGATCCCCGCGTTTTCCCTGGGATAGTCTCCCCGTGCCAATCTCCCCCGGGCCAAATTTTTGCGCACTTTGGCAGCCCACCCACCCGAGGGTCGCAGCCCGCTTCCCTTCTTTTTCCACACGGAAGGAATCCACGACTCGTGAGGCCGGGAGGGTTTCCTCGTGGCGACCGCTCGCGAGCCGCGTAGCTTCCTCCGCTCGCGCAGGTCTTCTCGTCGCGAGGCCGTCGCCGCCCCGGCATCCCGTCGACGCCGCCCCGGCAGTCCGTCACCGCTGCCACTCCACCTTCTCATCGCTTCGGTCACGCCAATGGTGAGACCGCCTCATCCTACATCTCTGTGCCTCCCGCTAGGGTTTCGGATTTCTTGATCCGCTCTTCTCATAGACTGTCCCACTAGGGCGGTGAGGTGGCCGCGGCTGATTAGGGTTTCGGCGCCGAGCAACACGACATGGGAACCGGAAGCTGGGCGCTCTAGGGAGCAGGGTGCAAGATTTGAGGGCGCTCATCACCTCTATGCTTTCTGCTGTTGCTTCGGTAAGGATTCCGCATACTCCCTCTCTAGGTATTTTATTTTTGTGCGTTTGTATTGCGGGATTGGTTAGTGGGGCAGTTGCTGTGGAGGGGAGATTGTAATTGCTGTGGGGAGGAGGGATATAATATATTAGCCTAGTAGATAAATTAGCCTAGCATGGAGCTGTTGAATTATACATTGGATGTTCTTTCTTGCCTGCTGGAGCTCTTGCGACAAAATATATGTTGCTATTTAAATTGCATTCACTCCTGACTCAGAGTTACTTGAATAGATGTTCCTGAGTCCTGACCACTTTAGGTTTGTCCTAAATTAAACTTCTTTATATTTAACAAAGTTTATTGAAAAAATACACTTGCATCTATAATATTGATTTTCACCATTAATTATGTCTTGATAGTGGTGCATTTATTTGGTGCTCTAGATGTTAATATATTTTTCCTAAAAACTGAGCTAGGCAAATTTGACCCTATGGTTTGCAAAAGAGGGAGTAGCGCAATTAAACCTGCAAAGCCAACACCGTACCTAGGTTCTGAATCAGAAGGATCTCGAAGGATTATTGTCTACTTTGTGTCATGGTTGTTAACTTTTACTCTCGGCCGACACCGTGTGTCTTTGGTACTAAGTTGGAAGCGTAATTAGATCGGTTTGCCAAAGTCAAGAAATTCATTACGACTCTTGGTTATGATTTTCTTTAGCACCCTCTGGTGCGCGCGTTTACTTTTTTTTACGATGAAGCTAGGCTCAAAACCTTGCATTGAGGTGCACATAGCTCGGTTCTCAAGTGCATACGACTCTAGCTGATTACCGTTGGGGTACATGAAGATGAACCAGTTGCAATGTAGGATGATGCCTTTAGCTTTGGCACCATCCTGTCTAAATATATGATGATAGTATTATCTGAAGCGGTTCGTCTCTCAGTATGAATGCATGATAGGTCTTGCCTACTCGGCACGAGATTTTAAGCGAGTGTGCCTTTTTAATTTGATGGCGTGTGGGATCTTAAGCGAGTTTGTTTTTAATTCCATTATGCGTCCATACTCGTCAATCACTCAATCTAATAATTTGCGTGCTAAATCTCGAGACAAGTGCTTGCTAAATCTCTCCGACTAATAAGGGCATGATGCTTTTTGCACGAGTGATTTTCTGCTTTGCATCTTGGGACGGGTGATGGTGTCAGTTAGTCCCCCATTGTTGCTCTTTGCATCTATTGTTTTTGCTCAGTCTTTGGTGTACAATGATTCCTACTGCATTAGAACTAATGAAATTTCCTGGATACTCTTCTGGATTTCTCACTAGCAGTTTTTTTTCCTGCTTTCTAGTCTATCTGTATAGCTGTATCTTGAAGTGTTCCTCTCACTGTATTGTTCTCTTTAGCATTTTTTAGTAATAAGTTAAAAAGATTAATGCAAGTTTTTTCATGAGATGGACTGAGAAAAATCTAAGCTTTCCTCACAATAGCTCTAGGTTGTTAGCTTATGACAGCCCCTAACTTTTATTTTAGGGCATATATAAAACTTCACTCTGAAATAATCATAACCAAGTTATGAAATAATCATAACTTTTATTTTTTTTAGTTAAAAAAATGAATGCATACATGCCTGGATGAGTAGGTGCTGCTGTAAGTGCTGCCTGGAACGGGTGTGGCCTCCCTTTTCCTCTCCTTTCTTGAAGTGCTGTAAGTCCTTGTCAGGTTGTCATGATGATAGCTTTCCTGAGACCTTTTCTACAGGGAGGGTTGAGCACACATTGGTAGATTGGTCAGTGTCTGAGCTGTGTTTCTGATCTTATTTGCAAGTAGCCTCTTTTGTTTATAAAAATAATGCTATAAATATAAGATGCCCAAACCACTTCTTCCCTTGGGCTTGCAGATCACTGGCCAGCAGCCATTTGATTAGGCAACGACCACCGCTAACCTTATCAGGCTCCTCTCCTTTCAAGAGGATTGCATGTCTGATCCCCTATCTTGAGGGATCTTAAAAATTCACAAGGCATGACTCATATTACACTTTTCGGATGTCGTGTACATAAAATTTGTTCATAGGGATAGATAACCTTGAGCCATATGAAACTAATGACTACACAATTGTACAACAGCTTGCACTTGCCAATGCTGCATGCCATCAGTACTCTTTGTTGCTGGTATTAGGAAATGGTTTTGGTGTGGTTATCTTTCTGCACTTTGTACAAAAAAAAATTCTTAGCCTGAACTGACAGCTAGCTGTAAACATGGTGATAACATGCTTCTTTTACCTATATGCTCTGTATTTTGACCTTATACTGTAGGGCCTCACAAGAGTTCATTTTTTTTGTGTGTTAATTGCAGAGAGTTTGGTGGAGGAAATGCATGATTTGAGATGAGAAGTGTGGTCAATTTTGGTAGTGCATGTTGGACATTTCAGGCTTCTATGTATTGGATCAGTTTGGTAGTGGGTTGAATTTGGCACTTGAATTAAATTTTCTATCTATTGGACTGTCAAATAATTTTGGTCTTGTGATTTTCCATGCATTATGATCATGAAAATGATGTGGTTGGTATTGATCTTTGGTGATTTCATTATATTATTTAAGAAATTCAGATTTTTCTTGATTTTTCAAGACACTGTTTTCAATTTTGTTGCCATACTTTGGCAGAAGTACTAGTACTTTGGTAGAAGTGCTGCTGTACTTTGGCTGCAAGACAGCAGGTTCGTGTTTTCTCTGCGATAGACATCCCGTTGCTGAAGTTGTGTATTATCAGTTCAGTTCGGTTCAGTAGGCCTGTTGCCAACCAGCACGTCGGCATGTGGACGTTCAGTTCGGCACCAACATGTCGGCACGTCGGCAGAATGGTTCAGTTGTCTAGTACTCCTGCGATAATGCTATTCTTGTTTCCCCTGTGCTGTCAACCTGTTTCCAAAGGAAGATGTGGAAAGTTCCCCCACTGTGGTTACCAGCCCTGGGAAGAGGCGGGAAGAAGAAGTCCCAAAAAAATCCACGTCAGGGGTAATCATCCTTGGGCTAATTGGCCCCTACTGCCAAAGTAAGCCTAATAGTTTACTATGTGATGTTCATGCTTCGGCTACCGAAGATCTGTTATCAGTCAAGGGTGCGTGGGTAATGATTGATGTAGGTTGATTGTAATATCCTCAAAGGGGAACAGTACCAACTTCTGTACAAATTGATCACTGTCTGATGTTTGTTTGTCTACCACGATTTCATAGTATACGAGTGTCTGTCGTCATCTATTTGGGTTGGAATTGGAAGTACAGCTCGCACGGTCAAAATGCCCTTCTACATGTTATAAGAATCGAAAGCATAATCCACGACACTCAGCGCGTGTTTAGTTGCTTGAATTTTGGAATTTGACATACCGTAGCACTTTCATTTTTATTTAGTAATTAGTGTTCAATCATGGACTAATTAGACTCAAAACGTTCGTCTCGCAATTTCCAACCAAACTGTACAATTAGTTTTTTTTTCATCTACATTTAATATTTCATGCACGTATCGCAAGATTCGATATGATGGATCCTGTAGCACTTTTTTGGAAATTTGGAGGGTAACTAAACACACGCTCAGAGATGCATATGAGACGCATGTTCAGTGTTCATTTCCACTTCCTTTATTGCTCCACGCAGGTGAATGGAAGCCAAATCGAAATCATCTCCGCAACATGACTCGTGACACTCAATAAATGTTCAGCCCCAGATGCCACAAGCATAAGGGTAGCTCAAGCTAATTACAGTAACCTAGTCGAGAACAGTCACCTACCTCCCATCCATCAGCACAAGTTTCTTTTGGATCTTCAGTTCATAGCTAGATAATATAAAGCAACACTCAGACTTATTGCACGGTTAAGCCCCCATTTTTAGCTTTTCAGATATCCTGTTCAGCACTCGCGCTGCCACTGTTTCCTCCTGTTCCTCATTCTGATTCTTGGTGAGCCACTCTTGAGTGGCAACCAGATCGGGGAGCACCGTCGCGCCTGACTGCCTCCAGCTCTCGGCATCGGCAGTCTTGAACCGGTCCAGGAGCAGCGCATGCATCCCGATGCTCCTAGCTGGGGTGTAGTCCTTCCGCATGCTGTCACCTATGTGGAGCGCTTCTTCTGGTGCGACGTTTCCTGCCATTTCCAACGCTATCTTGTAAATTCTTGGGTCTGGCTTCTCAACACCAACCATGCCTGAGAACACCCCAAAGTCCCACTCGGAGCCCTAGTTGCAAACCAAGACATGCGTTAGTATTTAGTCAACTACGCCAAGAAAGCAGATTGTTATAGAAGCATGTAACTGATGTGTGATCCAGTGGATATTGCACCTGATTCAACCCTAAAGCTGGCAAGATAAAATCTTTGTAGCGGTACTCTGCATTGCTGACAACACCAACAGTGAGTCCCTTTTCCCGCGCCCACCGCATAAAGGGCTGTGCATCAGGAAATGCTGAATATGGCGCAGAGGAGCCAAAAGCAGAATAAATGTGCCTGAAGATTTTCTCAAATGTCTCCTCATCATAATCATAGCCAGCCTGCAGTTTGTGATAGATCATAGAGCAACTGAATCACAAGGCCCTCTGAACATTAAGAGGACACACCACTAGTCCAGACAAGTTTCAGATTTGTAAATTGGTCTTACCTTAACGAATGAATTCTTAACACATGTCCTCCACCATTCAATGTTCGGCATCTTAGCCGCAAATCCAAAGCAAGGGTACTGTCTTGCCATCTCAGTGTATGCAAGCTTGAAGCCCTCATGCATACGGTTATAGTCAGGACATGGCATCCCAGCAGACTTAGCTGCCATACAGTAGTAATCCCCAAGGTGTCCTTTGTAAGCAATCAGTGTACCAGTAACATCCACGGTGATCAAGCGTAACTTTGAAAGTAGAGACATGCTTGGCAGTGATCTGAACTGTGGTCTTTATATACAATCTACCTGCAAATTCACATAGTGAAAATTAGGACCAAAACAACCATTTTTGCAGAGCCAGCAGAACAGGCATTACAAAAATATATGGCATCAATGTTACAAAATTAATTTTATATATAGCTGAGAGGCAGCGCCTGAGCTCATATATCCTAGGCATGGAAGGTGCACTCAGAAATTAACTTTGCAATGAGATGCTCCTCCCTCCCTCCCAACTACTCCCTCCGTTCACAAAAAGATGCAATTCTCACTTTTGGAGTCAAACAATTTGAAATTTGACCAAAGTTATTATATAAAAAAGTACTAACATTTATGATACAAGATAAGTACCATTAGATTAGTTATGAATTTCGTAGTAAACCTAGTTGGAGACAAGTGTTAACGCTATTCGCTATAAATTTGTTAAACTAGTTTGACTTACACAAATCTCACAGTTGCATCCTTTTGTGGATGGAGGGAATAATACCTAAGACCTTTTTCCATAGTGAACCAATGCCTTTTGCAATGGATGAAACATTTAACTTAAGTCTAAAAGACCAATCGCTATATTACAAAGAGTGCTGCAGAACACAAAAGTAAAATAGTGACACCGCTCTACCAGCTGGCAAGAACTATACCATATTGCCCCCTTTAGAACAAAGGAAAAGCACACGAATTTTGGAGGATTGTAATCCTATAGGAAACTTTCCTATATGTCAATTTGGAACGAAGGACTAAACCCTGTGAAATTCCTTTGGATTACTATGAGATGCATGAAACCATAGGATTACTATGAGATGCATTAAACCCTATGCAGGAAAATTAGCATGAGGTTGGACCTCATGGAAACTTTCCTTTGTGTCTATCTCTCACATGGAATTCTTGTATTTTTTTTTTCTGAAAAACGTCTAGATAACATGACAAATGGGGAATAGAAAGGAAAAATAAACGTGCTGGGCAATCATTTTGTCAAAACATCAGTGATGTACTGATGTGGCATCTAGGATGAATGTACAATACCTACTTCCACAACAAAGTCAACCTACATGGGACATTTCCTCCCGACATTGGAAATATAGTGAAACAAATTCAGCAGTGACCGCTGAGCAAAGCATCCCTGATCTCAGCAACCAGGCAGGAAGGGACTAAGAATGAATATTCCGTTTCTACCAAGATAAACTCCAAACCCCTTGTAACTCCTAATTTTCAACATTTCTCTGTCATCAATGATTACTAACACCCCCAGACCATCTACTCTATCCTGGTTGAGATCCCCATTCATTTTATTTTGCAAGAAAAGTAAAAAAAAAAAGTAAGGTCATCACCGACCTCCTTGCTCAATAATAACAAACAAATAGCAAATCTCAACCAGAAAGTGGAAGGGAAAAAATCCAAAATGTTCCATTACCTAGAAAAGGATCGATGATTGAACCTCCAGTCGCGGCAATGCCTGCAACAAACAGAAGAAACACGAGATCCGGTCAGGCAACCAACAGAGGTTCACCTCGGAAGATCCTATCTTTCTGCACAAGAACGCGGCAAAAGCCAACAAACGGATACGCCATAGATGAGAGATCGCTACCTCCCAACCACGGCAGGTGTCTAACCGGAACGGGGGAAAAGTTGCGGCCTTGGAGCCTGAGATTTCAAGAAACAGGCAACCAGTGGGCTCCTCCCAGTTCCTTGCCTATGAGCTCCAGGTTTTGATGTTTGGGAGGTGGGATTTCGATTGGTTTTTCGGTGGTATAAGTACTGGGAGTGGGGAGTGGAAATCTGTGGAATTGGGAACGGGATACCAGCGGTGATGGTCCATGGTTTTGGTTCATCGGATTTCAAGCATACTTTAATGGCACCTTGGGCAGAAAGCAGCCGATAGGTACGCGTGTCCCCACTGTTGTACTAGTAGTAGTGAAAAGTTTGCGAGGAATAGGCGTGCCATGTCACGAATAGACCAAAGACTGTTTTCCATGTCAACAACAGAGGTGTATCTTCAGTGGGCGACTCGTGGTCCGACGTGTGCTGGAGAAATCGAATCACCACGAGGAAGAAGAAAGGCCTGCTTGGTTCAATGCCAATTTTTGCCAAGCCAATTTTAAGACAAGCCAAAACATGGGTATACTAGTATTAGGGCAGGCCAATATAGTAAGGCAATGAAGGTTGGTGTTTGGTTTGCTACGAACAAGAGAAAAAAATGTTGTCTTGCCAAAGTTTTAGAAAGTATTGCCAAAACTTTGGCAACCAACCTATTATATGCCAAATCTTTTGAACTTGCCCATATTTTAACTTGGCAGCTTAGAACCAAGCAGGTCCGAAGAACTGATGCATATCTGAGAGTCGATTCGTGGTGAAAGAAAATGGAGCAACCCCACTTACCGGAGGGCTTGCCGCACCGCACCGTCGTTGCGGCCGCGCGGTCAGCAAGTGTGACGATGCGACCTCGATGGAGTAGGTAGAGCCGAGGACACGTAGCAGGCAGGCCGACGAGCGGAGGAACTGACGAGGGGCTCTGCAGTTCAAGGGCGCTAGGCGGCGCAGCCCCCTCGAGGAGTACCTGCTTGTGTAGCGGGGAAAAGAAGCCGGGATTGGGGAAGAACAGGAGGGTGACGGATCATTTTTATATATTTTTTATTTATTATATGCTTTTGTGTCTAATGCCTCCAAAAAGTATGATAGTATCTTTTCTTTAGAAGTTAAATAAATCACATTTAATTAGGTTTATAAAAAAATAGTACCAATATTTATATCTCTAAATATATTCTATGGTTAAATCCAACAATACTTATTATGCATCAAAGATCCATACTAAAATTTAAGTCATTTTGATCTTACATAAATGTTAATACCTTCTCTCTAAAAATATGAAAATATTGCTTCTCGAGAAGCCAAATAATAAAAAGGCTTATAGAATAGTACCAAAATTTATATATTTAAATATATTTATAATCAAAAGTGTTGTTCCCTCCGTACTAAATTGGAAGTGATTTTGGTTTTACATAAATTTTACTTGTATCTAGACATAATGTATCTATAAAAGTTAAAATGACTTACAATTTGAAATAGGGAGAATGATATTTTTTTATATGTTTAGTCAAATTTAAAATTGTTTGACTACTCGCAAGGTTTGACTACTCAAAAACAAAGTTTAGGTCCATACGGCTAGTCTAGCATTAGTTTTGGAGATTGTACGCTCTTTCCAACCAAATCTTATCCCTGTTCCGTTCGGTAGAGGTCTATGTTTTCTACTTCCTATTTGAGAGCTCTTCACGTCTTCCAAATATGTGGTCTGATTTATTATTTTCATGAGAAATCTATTATAAGACACGTTGCAAGCCGTTAGGATCTTTAATTTGCTTCTTCGTCTCTCACTATGAATATAGTATATTAAAATAAAAGAACATAAAGGTATGAAATAGGTGAACTTTTTATTATCTAGATATTGATAATTACTCCCTCCATCCTAAATATTATATTATTTTGGTTTTCCTAGATATATAGTTTTTATAATATATCTAGACATAATGTATATCAGAGCGTGTAGCAAGAACTATATACCTAAAAAAGCCGAAACAATTTAAAAATTTAGAACAGAGGGAGTACAATGTTGAGCTCCTACTCCTACGTACAAGGCCCTAGAATTTGGCAAGAGCTCACATAGATGAAAGTCCCGTTTGGATTTTGGTAAAATGACAATATTTATGGACTAATGGTTTCATGTAAGGTGAAAGGTTAGGTGAATAGCCCACAAGCAAGACTTGAGCTAGATGAGACCATAAAAGGAGAAATGGCATGATCACACGATGCAAAAGCTCAACAAGAAGAAATGGGAAGCATTGCCTAAGTATAATAATATGGATAAGAAGGTAGTAACTCTACCATTTAATTAATAAGAATACACAAGGGGATACCATATACCTTATAATCTATAATTATGCTTACTATTGAAGCACAACTTCTTTTGTCCACTGGTCCGTCGTCCCTCACTCCCACCTTCTCGCTTGCACTCCTATTGAAGAGAGCTGTTTTCACTCCTATCATGGCTAAACTGCATCCTTCTTTAGTAGGGCATCGACGATTATAGTTTGGAGCTACAAATTTGGCATTTTTCTTTAACAAACCTCAATTGGAATATAAAGAAAACCTATTGCACTTTCAAACCTAATACACTGGATTAAAGAAAACTAGTACCTATATTTGACACTAGTGGCTAGCAAAAAATGAAATCGTCGAAGTTTGTTAAAGAAAATTATCAACTTTGTATGTATTATCTCTCTCTTGGGGATTATGTGAAATTATTGGCTGAAAATATGTGCTTATTAATTATTATTAAAACAGCAGTTCAAATAATATGGAGCTAATTGAAAATATGAAATAGTTGTGGATCCTTTGGAATATAAAACGAAAATGCCATTCTGGTTCCAGGGAGGAAACATTCATTATTCCAGTTCCTTTAGCAAATATTTTTTGTGCTCCAAAGCACAAACGACACACTAAATTCATTGTTGCGTAATATTTGCAACTTTACCATGATGACATGACATTAGCCTAGTTCCTTTCATCTTATACAAAACATCATAAATACAAAGCAAACATCTATGCCTATGATATTACAGGTAGGTAGGACTACATTAATAGGAAGAATACACTACTACAAAAACGATTTGTAGCAACGCCTTCCTTTATTTACAGGAGCGACTCTATATTGAGCCGCCCCTACAAATGGTTGATAAATGAGCCGCCCTTACAAATGGATTTGTAGGGGCGGCCGGTGTTATCAGCCGTCCCTACAAATCAGATTTATAGGGGCGGCTCAATATTGAAGTGCCTCTACAAATATACGCCGAGTATTAAAAATTAAGCACTAAAATTCAAATTTTGTAAACGACCTCGGATGGAGAAACAACCAAAATGAAAGTTGTAGATCTCGAAAAGTTATGAAACTTTGTAGTTGACAACTTTTTGATTTGAAATCATCTTGTCAAGGAAAACTATGTTTGAATTTCTAAAAATTTGAAATATGAATTTTTTAAACGACCTCGGATGGACAAACAGTAAAAATGAAAGTCGTAGATCTTGAAAAGTTATGAAACTTTGTAGTTGATAACTTTCTCATTTGAAATCATCTTGTCATGTAAAATTACGTTCGAATTTCTTAAATTTGAAATTCAAATTTTATAAGTGACCTCGGATGGAGAAACTACCAAAATGAAAGTTGTAGATCTCAAAAAGTTATAAAACTTTGTAATTGACAACTTTTTCATTTGAATTAGTTTAGGGCCTCAAATAATCAATTTATGCTCAGTTTTATATAATACGTGGAGAACCAAAATAAAATATAGACATAAGTGATCGTGAGGTGCAGTAGTAGAGGAATTTATGCGCGAGCGAGAGGTCGCGGGTTCGAAACCCGGCCGAAACGGTAGAGTGAGGGTGTGTGACTGTCGGTGGGGACCTCCTTAGATTAAAAAAATTGCTATTTTTTTACCTCTTTTTTGTTTTTTCTAAAAATTAATTTATAAAAACGACTAAATATCCAATCGTCCCTACAAATTAATTTGTAGAGACGATCTAAGAAACACCCCTATAAATCAGCAATTTATAGCCACTCTTTCACGAGGGAGGCTAGCAAAACCGCCCCTGCGGGCCGCCCCTAAAAAAAAGGTTTTCTACGTACTGATATGACGTCAAACGCCGACGACAGATGAGTGGTTTATTTGCACAGAAGTGTATCCAAAATATCTCCGACGGTATCCGTACATTCACATGTAACGTTGGACCTCAAAGTCTAAAAAGTTGCTATAAAGTTGCTATAGTACCTGTCACATCGAATATTTGCAGCCCGTGCATGGAGCATTAAATGTAGACAAAAATAAAAACTAATTACACAGTTTGGTGAGAAATTACGAGACGAATGTTTTGAGCCTAATTAGTCCATGTTTAAACACTATTTGCCAAATGAAAACGAACGTGCTACAGTAACCCAAAATCCAAATTCACCCAACTAAACAAGGGCTAAATGTACTGACAACCATCATAACCTGCAGGACAATACAAAACCACAATAAAATAAGAAATTTGATTTACAAAACCACGAACGCGCCGCACTACTACAGAAGTTAACTGTAGGGGTGGCTGCGCCAGCCGCCCTTCCCAGGGTGTTCCTATAGAGGGTATCTCTGTAGGGGCGGTTTTCTGACCGCCCCAGCAGTGCCCTCTGTAGGGGCGGCTGGTGTTTTTAGCCGCCCCTACAGTGCCCTCTGTAGGGGCGGCTGGTAATATCAGCCGCCCCTGTAGTGGACTTCTGTAAGGGCGGCTGTATCACCAGCCGCCCCTGCTGTGTGTATCTGTAAGGGCGGTTCAATCAAGAACCGCCCCTACAGTGGATTTTCCAAAAAAAAAAATTCAAATTCAAATCTGACCACATATATATATATAATTCAAATTCAAATCTGACCGCCACAAATATACATATATACATCCATAAACATAAGACCATTATTTAGAACATCATCACAAATCATAATTCACAAAAGTCATAATTAGTAAATATAGAAAGATAATATTTATACATGTAAATCAACAATGGCCAAAGCAACACTCAAGAAAGGCATTGGAGAGGTCATTATCACTAGACAAATGAAAGATCAATTTAATGTGCAAATTCAAGTAGGACCTGGCATCTGGAATTCCATGGCAAATGACTTCGTTGACAGACCTGAGTACAAGTGACAACAATGTGAGCAATACCTTTAGTCTCCTAGAACTGATACCAATAACTATTAATTAAAACAAAGACAACCTACGTGCAACATGACCTGGGGAAGAAATGGTAATTCAATGGAGATGGGTATCCACCTGAGGATCAAGAATGAAAGTTATGATCAATAAGAGAATCAAATAGGCATGATCAAGACACAAATAGTATTTTTCTTAAAAATAGTTGTAGTGATCACAAGTTCATCATTCAATCAACTGGAGTTCAATTTGCTGCATTTAATTCTTAAAGGATGTTGATCTCACCTCTAGCAATTGTCTCTTCATGGACAACTCTATCAATTTCATCTGTTGTAATTCCTAGTTTAATTACACGAGCAGCTGCATCTAAAACCTCTCTTGCAATCTATAAATGATAATACGAGATAAAGCAGAAAAGATTAGGAAAGTGAAATTATAATGTCACAACTAAGAACTCATTTACATATGCTGGGAACTTACTCGACATGTTTCTCTCATCCTTTCTATGAGTTCAGGGGTCTTAATCTACAGAGGCACAAAGAAAGCAGTAATCATCAGAAATTTGTTCATGGAACATATGTGATACTCAAAAACCTCTGAAGGATTTTACCTCTACTCTTTTCTACAAATCACTATCTGGTTCTATCTTGGGAATTCCCTAAAAAGTATTACAATGTCAGGGAGATTTGAAAGAGCATATTGCAAGAGATGTCACTTAAAGTGGAATGGTGAGACGACACTGCATGCATACTGTGAAGGAAGAGACCCTTAAAACAACAGGAACTTACATCAAGCGCCCAATCAGGCTTCTCAATTTCATCTGGCACCACACGCATCTTTGATATTGGATATGGTCTCAATGGACTGAAAGACATAATCATTCAATAAATGTGAGAAAGGTACTACCCAAATAGCTCATTCCTCCCACCCTAGATTATTAGCAAAGAATAAAGGTGCAGTTATGTTCACAATTTTCAATTTGTCAATGCTCTATTTTGGTGTGAAAATATGAATGGAAAGAAATGTTCAACACCATGTTTACTGCATCCATGAAGCCACTTTGTTGCTCAAATATACTGGAACTCTCAAATGCGCAGTTTAATGCTAAAAGACCCATACATGGACAGTGCATAACTAAGTCAAAAAACCTATTGTGGCTATCTAAAAGACATTGGTTCACTGCACATATATGTTAGATTCACATCGATAGTTAACTTTTTCATAGCTCATTTGCTGCTCTAAACCTTTTGCATGGTTGTGGCAGGGTTATCCTTAGTGTTCTACATAGGTTGTGTCAGAAGGTACCAGCATTTATTTAAAAAGGTAGGAAATCAACCAGCTAAAAATTTACCCTGTCCAATCAAAACGAGGAAGTTCCAATGCACGTCCCCGCCCTTTTCTCACATAATATTTCCATCCTTCTGGAGACTGCTGGGATGCCAGTGCACCAGGCTTTGGGTGAACAGATTTGTGAGAGCTCCATGCTACCCTAAAACAATCCAGTGTGCTGCAAATGATTTGTGGACACAAAAGAATTTAACGCTTTCACTAGTTCAAAAAAGTGAAGGAGCACACATGAAACATAATTCTACCCTGCACTGGTGTGCCAGCATTTCCAATGGATACTTTGATATAAAAAGATGTGTTTCCTTTAAAAAATCAAAAGATCAAGGATATGAAAAAAATACCATTTCCACGTAAGGCCATAACTAAATGATACATGCCTTGAAAATATGCAGAAGGTTTTATGCTCTGTGTTGTTAAAACAATCAAACTAGCTGATACTCATTCATCCAGAGAGCTTCCTACTATCATGATGTTCCAATGCAGTAAAACGAGAGAGAGGAGCTTGCCACTGACCAGAAAGTTGCGTTCTCACGAGGTAGCTTAAGTTCAGCACACTTGGGGCATCTGAAAATCAACACAACAGAGCATAAGCAATGACTTGAAGAAACCAACATGTCTATTATGTGCTACTTTCCAAAGTATAACTCTGCTTTTCCAGCCATATATCACAGCAATGAACAATCAGAGCCACCCAGGTTCCGCTTCAATGTTCTAACTACAATTTTTCCAGCCAATATATCACAACAATGAACAATCAGAGCCACCCAGGTTCTGCTTCAATGTTCTAACTACAAGCAAATGAGAGCTAAAGACCCAATTTCTATAACTTAAAATAAATATCGTCACAACAAAGCTGCGTCAAGCATCAATTCCTATTACTAGATGGACAGGTGTAGGGCGTCGAAGCAAAACGCAGCGGGTAAAACTCGACAGCGGATCACTGGTGGAGACAGGAAGCGATATGTGCCAAGCAAAGCGCAGCGGGGAAAAGTCGACAGCAGATCACTGGCAGAGAGAGGAAGCGACATGTTATCGGGAGGAGAGAAAAACGCACTGGAGCTGAGCGGGCTTGCCGCAGCGAGCGCAGGGGGGCGACGCCTCCGGGGCTCCTTTCTCCATCCCGGCTGCCTGCACCACGCCAATTGGATCAGGCGGATCAGTAGACTGCTGGACCCGGGCAGGAAGGGCGCGGAGAACAGCAGAGAAGAGTCCCATCCGGCTCACCTGTGGCGGCGGAGGCTAGGGTTCCGGCGGCGCGGGCGGCGGACACGAGGGGAAAAGAGGAAAAATGATGTGGACGAGTCAGCCGAGGGGATTTGCTCGCTGCCTACCTGCCGTGCTGAGAGTCGATCCGGGCAGGGAGGGGCAGGCGACGGCGGTACATATACAATAACTAAAACAACTACAACAACTTAAAATTATAAAATTAAACCTTTAAAAATGAGAAAAAAAATTAAATTTTAAAAAATTAAAATTAAAATTACTAAAATAATTTTGAGACACCAAATGATCTTAAATGAAAATTTGATAAACATCAAAGTTGTAGAGGCCATCAAGATCTATAATTTTTATTTTGGTTATCTTGTCATTTGACTAAATTTGAACTTTTCAAATTTGAAATTTTAAAAAATTACAAGTTCGAACCAAAATTTGAGACCCAAAATGATTTCAACATAAAAAGTGATGAATACCAAAGTTGTTCAACTCATTAATATCTACAACTTTTATTTTAGTCGTCTTGTCATTTGACAAAATTTGAACCTTTCAAATTTGAAATTTTGAAAAACGACAAGTTCGAACCAAAATTTGAGACCTAAATTGATTTCAACATAAAAAGTGATGAATACCAAAGTTGTTCAACTCATGAATATCTGCAACTTTTATTTTGGTCATTTCTTCATTTGACAAATTCTTAGCATATATTGTTCACTAATCTTACACATATCTCGTATAGTTTATAAAACCTTATGAGAGATGTGTCATATTTGTGAACAATTTCATTACCACTTTGTCATATGAAAAAATGACCAATACAAAAGTTGTAGATCTTGATGAATTATTCAACTTTGGTATTTATCACTTTTTCAGCTGAAATCATTTGGGGTACCAAAATCTGGTCTGAAGTTGCATTTTTTTGAAATTCAAAATTTAAATTTCTCAAACTTTTCATATGTATATATTGACAAAACCAACAAAATAAATTGATAGAGAATGATTTTAGAAAAATTTAGAAAAAAAAAATCATCAGATTTGGAGTTAGTATGAGAAAGAAAAACTAGTTACAAAGTTGACTCACAGATTAAAAAAAGAAATCACACTATTCACTATGATCATGTAAGGATCATTCAGAACAGTGTGATTTCTCTTTTTAATCTGTAGGTAAACTTTGTAACTAGTTGTTCTCCCTCATACTAACTCCAAATGTGATGGTTTTTTTTCTTAAAAATTTCTAAAATCATGCTTCAGCATTTAAGTTTGTTCAAACTTGGACGTGACAATGGTTTACACATTTAAAATTTTAAAATTTGACAAGTTCAAACCAAATTTTCAAACCCTAAATGAATTCAGATGTAAAAGTGATGAATACAAAAGTTGTTCAACTCATCAAGATCTACAACTTTTATTTTGGTTATCTTGTCATTTGACTAAATTTAAACCTTTCCAATTTGAAATTTTAAAAAATGACAAGTTCGAACCAAAATTTGAGACCCAAAATGATTTCAACATAAAAAGTGACGAATACCAAAGTTGTTCAACTCATTAATATCTACAACTTTTATTTTAGTCATCTTATCATTTGACAAAATTTGAACCTTTTCAATTTAAAATATTGAAAAACGACGAGTTCGAACCAAAATTTGAGACCCAAATTGATTTCAACATAAAAAGTGATTAATACCAAAGTTGTTCAACTTATAAATATCTGCAACTTTTAGTTTGGTCATTTCTTCATTTGATAAATTCTTAGCACACATTGTTCACTAATCTTACACATGTCTAATATAGTTTATAAAACCTTATGAGAGATGTGTCATATTTGTGAACAATTTCATTATCACTTTGTCATATGAAGAAATGACCAATACAAAAATTGTAGATCTTGATGAGTTATTCAACTTTGGTATTTATCACTTTTTCAGCTGAAATCATTTGGGGTACCAAAATCTTATCTGAAGTTGCATTTTTTTGAAATTCAAAATTTAAATTGCTCAAACTTTTCATATGTATATATTGACAAAACCAACAAAATAAATTGATAGATAATGATTTTAGAAAAATTTAGAAAAAAAAATCATCAGATTTGGAGTTAGTATGAGGAAGAAAAACTAGTTACAAAGTTGATCCACAGATTAAAAAAAGAAACCATACTGTTCACTATGATTATTTAAGGATCATCTAGAATAGTGTGATTTCTCTTTTAATCTGTAGGTAAACTTTTTAACTAGTTGTTCTTCCTCAAACTAACTCCAAATATGATAGTTTTTTTTCTAAAAATTTCTAAAATCATGCTTCAGCATTTAAGTTTGTTCAAACTTAGATGTGACAATGGGTTACACATTTTAAAATTTGAAATTTAAAATTTTACAAGTTCAAACTAAATTTTCAAACCCTAAATAATTTCAGATGTAAAAGTGATGAATACAAAAGTTGTTCAACTCATCAAGATCTACAACTTTTATTTTAGTTATCTTGTCATTTGACTAAATTTAAACCTTTCAAATTTGAAATTTTAAAAAATGATAAGTTCGAACCAAAATTTGAGACCCAAAATGATTTCAACATAAAAAGTGATGAATACCAAAGTTGTTCAACTCATTAATATCTACAACTTTTATTTTAGTCGTCTTGTCATTTGATAAAATTTGAACCTTTCAAATTTGAAATTTTGAAAAACGACAAATGGGCACTGCAGGGGCGGCTGGTGATTGAGCCACCCCTACAGATCAGTCCCAACTGTAGGGGCGGCTCAAGTTACCAGCCGTCCCTACAGTGCCATCTGTAGGGGCGGCTGGGCTGCTGGGGCCCGAGGACGCCCACTGTAGGGGCGCCCTCAACCCCAGCCGCCCTTACAGTAAAAATGCCCCGTTCCTCTGAAAGAAGAATTTGGCGTGGTGAGCGCGCGCTGCTGGCCACATGCAGCAGCGGGCCGGCAAGGTAGGCTTTGCGGGGAGGTACACGCAGATGCGGCGGCGCGGCGGAGGAACGTTGGCTGCTGGTGCTGGAGCGCCGCTGATCACGTCCTTGTATGACGGCAACGACGGCGAGTTCACGATGTTGGGGTGCGAGTAAACCCTTGTCCTTGCCGAAGCATCCGTCCAATCTGTAGCCCATGAATTGCATGATGACAAAGAAAATGAGAAACTAACAAGGATTCTTGTCCTCATGAGAAACTATATGCATGATCACGGACAATGCAGAACGAGATTTCGGCTCTGATTGAACTGTGTCAATTGCGAATGGACAATGCAAATAATGTGCACTCGTAGAGTGGAGCAGTTTGTTGTTACCATATTGCATAAAGATGATGGGTGCTAGGATGAAGATGAAGCAGTTCTTGATCATGCTTAACCCCATGAGTTTGCCAAAAATGGTAAACCTGGGCTCCTGATGACAACGGAGGATACATGGGAGAGTGTTATAGTGCTGGAAAGTGATGGCGGACCAGGCGAACACTATGAACTAGGCTTAGCAGGCAAAGGGGAGGCAAGCAAGAATTCACAGCCTGTTCGGGAGGCCGTATCGTATCGTGGATTATTTATTGCTGGCTGGTTTGGTGTGAGAGAAAAACATTGTTCCCGGCTGGAAATTTACGATCGTTTACGAGCAAGCGAACAGGCTGTCACCAGCTGCAATGTGACTGAATTTTTTAATATTCCGGATGCGCATCAGTTGCAAATGTTAGCTCTTTTCGCTGTTGATTTCGGCGCCTGCAGGGCTTGGATTATATTCCCCGGCCTTTTCTCCAGGCGAAGTTTTGGCACCTGTGCTTGCGTGGTCAAAGAGAAATTCAAGAAGCGGGAAATAAGAAAAGGAGAAAAGGGAAAAACAGGGGAGAGACTTGATCTTGCATGAGCTGTACTGGTCTTTTCTGTTGCTTTGGTTCCACTCCAGCAGAGACAACTGGCTGATCAGTGCCTATTTAAGTGTATATTATCCCCTCCGCGCCAAAATAAATGTTTTTAAGTTTAATTAGATTTGTAAAAAAATATTAGCAATATTTATATCTTCAAATAAGTTTATTATAAAAATAGATTCAAGGATCTATCTAATGATAAAACTAATTATATGTAATATAAATACTAATATTTTATATATATATTTGGTTAAATTTAGAAACTTTTGACTTCTAGGACATTTATTTCAGGAGAATTTTTTTTTAATTTTAGCACTTTTTGGAAACTAATTTTAAATCTAACACGGTCGGTTTTTTTTTAAACTAACACTTTTGGCCGCGCCTATTGCCCTGGTGCGGCCAAATGCCTGTGCCGCGCCATGTATGGTGGCGCGGCATAGGCGACGATGTGATAAACGAGTCCGCCGACACGACGGGAAGAGGCTGCCATGCCGCGAGCATGGCGCGGTGGGCCAATAAAACCCAGCGACCACCATGCTAGCCCGAAGCAAAGCAAGCAAACACGCCACGCATTATCCCGAACGCGTCGCGCGCGAGATAGTGGAAGTTATTCTAAGTATTGCTTGACGTAAAATCAATAGTGAATTTGTTTCTATATTTTGTTAAAAAAATTTCACGGCCGAATAGAGAATTTGATAAGCCAATGATATTTTTGGCCCCATATTGTAGGATCGGCGGCGACGCGACCATGGGCCCCCGTTTCCTCGACCCCTCGCGCAAGACGCCGGCCACCGACGTCGAGATATCCCGGGACTGCCGGTTTTCAAACTAGTTGCTACTTAATCTCGCAAGCAGTGATGATGCGACATATTGAAACGGATATGAAGCAAATAACATAAGTTGACAAACTGCCACATAACATTTTAATTGGTTTGACATAAGTTCGACATAACATAACCAACTAAGCCTGCAAGTTTCGAACACCAATAATAGTTCGACCTAATAAACTAAGACCCAGAAGTGTAAGGATCCCTCGGACGTCTCTGTCTCTTCGGATTTGTTGGCAACACATTGGGAGTGTAGCCAACGTCGGTGTGGTCGCGTCGCCGGTGCGTATGGCTCGTACCCTGCAAGTTTGTGA